TTCAGCCAGATTGTCAAACGGATGCACCTGAGGCAGCAACAGTCATCAGTTTGTTAAAACCAACTGTAGAGTCGTTGTCACCTTCCAGACTTTCAGTATTATTGTTCTCTGAAACCCTTTTTGATGGGCCACAGAGCTCATGACAAGTAATTTAATCAATGAGGATTACTGATTGAACTGCATGAATATAAAACATCTTAGTAAGTGACTGACAAGATATAAAGATTACCAAAGAAAATGTCTTTTATCACATCAGTAGATAAAGTTAAGACGAATAAAACAGACTACCTGTGTGCTATCTTGCCTCCATTTCACTGAGTGATTGTCTGCCACTCACATGATGGCACTGAGTGAGGTTCTTCAGGTTTTCCTGTCAAACACGCCTCCAACAGGTAAGGACATGTTAGATGAAAGGCATGGCCACCAATAACACACTTATCACATCTTGGACTATTTTAAGAATCATAAGGAGGACAAAAAATGTCTTTTCATTGCCTCCCATAAGTAAATGTGACCTGAGATTTAGCCAAACATGCAAAACGTATTGTTTGGACACTGGTTTAAGTTACATTATCCAGGAGATCCCCAGGTTCCTATGGTTAGTAACATTGAAGATATTGTTTACAGGAAAAACTTTAATGGGAAGAATGGGGAAAAAATCCTCTGGAACCAGTGCCCCATCACACTACTCTAGCTGAACATTAAAAAAGTATTTTATGTGATTCCTTACTGAACTAATCAGTTGAAAGTAATCAGATTATTATATGGCGTATCTGATCGGTCTGATTACATTGTGATCAGTGTAATCCAGCCATTTTTTATATTCCTGTGAAATTATCTTTCGATCCTGGTTGTGGATTGTAATGGAAAAGCAGGAGGATGAACTTACCTACGTGCGGTTGGCATGGTGACTCACCTGTTGCACTTTTCCTTAACTATGAGGAAACAGCCAACAAGGAAAAAACCAAGGGATTTTTACTGTGAGGTAAATACAGTTTCAGTTAGATGTCATTCCTCACCTCACTACTCCTCACTATTCAAGATTAGAATTATCAGATAAATTGCAACTCTTTCCCAAGAATTTCCCCATTCATTGCACAATGAAGATACAGTGCATTAGAAACCAACAGTCAAATCAAATATTAGTTACTACCTTAAACTATACTACTTTATAAATATTTTTTCAAACATGCTAGCGGTGTCAAGAGTGAAATCTCAACAAAATATGAGCTGACCTTAATTTTTTGGTATAGGTATCCTAACAGAGGATGAATCTTTGGTCACTTGAACTAAAACTAATGACTGAATTACAATCAGCTTGACCATATTACATGAAAGATACTTAAAATATTGACATGCTAAAGTTAGCACTAGCTGTACATAGTCGTATTACCGTGTATCTGTTATGTTAACATGCTAAGAAATGTAAATCTAACATTCAGTATTTTAACAAGTGGACAGTTACCATGTTAACACCCTAAACATTAGCATGTTAACATGATAACTGTTTACCTAAAATACTAATGTTAGCATATTAGCTATATGAGCTATTTGATTTATACTATTGGACTATTGCCTCTGAAGGTAGGTAGTATCAAAGCAATGTAAGTTCTTAGGTGGTATTACACGACGTTGCTAGGTGGTTAGTATGCTACCTTACGTGGACATCATTGACATAACGTTAAAGCTAATTATATTAATTATATTATTATTATACTACTATTCAATTTCAATTTCAATTCAATTCAACTTTATTTGGTATAGCGCCAATTCATAACAGAAGTTATCAGGACACTTTTCAAATAGTAAATATTCACATTCTGATGATTAGTTTTGAATGTTTTAAATCTCTTATATTTTTACACATTGCACCTTTAACTAGTTAACAATACAAACGTTAGCATGGTAATATGACTACTGTTTATACTAAATGTTAGTTAGTTTGTTCAACAAAGCATTTTGAGATTTAATTAAAAAGCTGTAAGGTGACAAGTTGTAACTAACACTGATGTTTTACTTAAAGTCTATTCGTTATCTTCAAAATTTAAATAATAGTTAGATAATAAATATTAATAGACTCAATAGCAGCACATGTGCCTGTTGTTAGATAGATCACTTTGTGGGTGAGTTTAGATTACTATAATAGATCTCACTTTTTCAGTTTTGTGCCACATTGTTCAATGGGAAGGGGAAATACCGAGTGCTTTGCCAAAAGCAACACTTTATCTGGAAAGACAAACAGCCCATTGACTTTTTCCCACTCCATTTCATATGGTGGGGCTCACAACTCCTGAATGAGCTGTTTCCTAACAATGGCCCGCATAGTTTCCCATTAAAAATAATTGTTTTTTGGTATATATCTGTTTTTTCTATCTGTCTCATTGTGCCTCGTTTTGCTTAAATCAGACCAAATGCAGTTGTACCATTGTAAATTATGCTCAATCTTGGCTTAAACCAACTGTTTAATTTTATTAGCTGTATCACATCTGTTCAAATGAAGAAACCTGAATTACATTTTCATAATGTCATTCCCTCCATGTGTGGTGGGTTAAACTTTGGCTCTCTCCGAGAAGTCACTCGCTTGTGTTTATCCAGACTCAGTGGGTGAGAGCAGCAGTGCTAAAGTCACACCTCGGGCCACTAAAACTGAGTCTGGATATGAGGCTCCCAACATCAGGTGTCCAACAGAGAATCCAACGTGCCAAAGTTCTCACACAGGACCACAATAAAGGAATCTTAATTGGACCCAGATTCTCCTTTGAAGGCAAGATCAGTCAATGTCAGATGAACTATTTTAGTCTCTAAATTCTGTAGATCCCAGTTTTTGTTGCATACCTACATAAGTTTATATTATTATAGTAAACTAGTGAAACGACTAAACATAGGACTGTTTTTATTTAGAGTTAATAAGTGTAGACATAGACACACGGTATAGAAATTGGGGGCCACACAGTGATTTGATCACTTTCTTTAATCATTTACTTTTTTTGTACTTAGACTTCTATGGAAATTACTGGTTTTGAGCATGTCAAAGACATGAATGTGCTGAGACAAGTTAGGTAACGTTAATTTCCAGAGAAACTGTCAAAAAAGTGATGCACACTAATTGGATTCATATCAAAATCAAATATCTACCGCACATATTGAGCTGAACTTTTTTTAATCTGATCTAATATGATCCCTACAACGTTTGGTGAAATTAAATAATACAGTTCAACTAGTTGTAGTATACAGTTGTATGTGTGGAGACAGAGGTGTTGATTCAAATCAGTGCTCATTTTCTAGACTAGTTGTGTTGTCAAGCACTCAGTGCTATTTAGTTTACTTGTAAATACTGTTTGATTCTAACAGAACACTCTTTCACGTTTCATAATTTTGCTGTGTGTGACTCAAATAGGCAGTTACTATCTTATGTGTAGCCCAGAAACTGACAAAGGTTTTTTTTCATGTTTTATTAGCTCATCTTTTTTTTCTGTTTCTTCATTTTTCTCTTTTTTTGGTCTTTGCGCACATTTGCATATTGATGTATTTTGCTATTTTTGTTCTCATGTAAGTCCTAAATTACCTTCTAAAATTCTTCTAAAAATGGTTTAAAAAATGGTTTCAGAGCTGACAGACAGTATTGCTCTAGTACTCTACTTGTTACTGTTTGTAGATCTGCTATCTGGCACACCTCTTGTTATTGTGTTTGCTTAAGCATTACAGAACACACATCAATGAGTTGTCCAGTCATAAATAGTTTTGATGGGGATGGCAGATTTTCCATTTCAGGCTCTGCCTTATCTTAAGCAGCAGGTCAAAAAGTGTATGCCTCTCACAGTAGGTGTAGTGGTCCAGTTGACAGTTCAGTCCTTCCAGAGAGGGTGACCGCATCTCCATGGCCTGATAAGGGCTGTGCAGAGGCTGACACCAGAGGAAAGAGGAGAGGCTCCAGTGGCAGGAATGCTGGGAGTACAGAGAGAAGGAACTAACCGCCCCCCTGGATCAGCTGCAGCAGCTCTTAAAGAGTGAGCACATTCATCTAGACAGGCTGTAAACTTTTAACATCTCCATAGCAGTGGAGGTGACCCACAGCTACAGCAATCAGAGACATGTACAGTCTATGTGCACCTTTAAATCATAACACACATTAATGCACACACAATAAAGTGTCAATCTTTTGCAGTTTACCCCTTGTAAGGTTTGATATGTACAGACGGTCCGATGAGTCAGAGTGAAGAATCACTTCCTTGTTGCTCTATCAGCCCCCCTCGAAGCTCCATAGCTCTTCTGGGAGCTTCGCATTTAGCTATATTTTAGTGATTTACAAGTGTTAATAACAGACATGCCTCAAGGATTGTGTTTTCTGAAAATTTTAGGTTTGCAAACAAATTCTCTCCAGTAGTGGTTCGACTTTTTCACCATAACTTTTCACAAGTATCAACATGTTTTAGTTTTTACAGTCTAATGCCAAAAGTATGGCAAAGCCCCAAAACACATGCACTGATTTGTCCTCAGAATACGCCGTTAAACCATCTCTATGTGCAGCTGTAGCATTTTTTTTCCCTCTCATTCAAAGCTGTAAGTGTTTTGCATTGTGTATATTGGGCCTGTGTTTGGGATTTCATAGGTTAGAGTGTGTGCAGAGGCAGCCACAGGTGTGAATGCCATGTGACTGAGGTCAAGAAGGGTAAAGTGAGAGTGTTCAGCTGTCTGCCTAGATCACTATGAAAGAGGAGAATGTTGGAAAGGTACCAAGCAGCAATGTTGAGAGTGTATATAGTGAGCCTAGTAACAAACACTGTTACCAACACAACCTTAAGTATGTGTGTGTATGTGTGTGTGTGTGTGTTTTCATTGGGTATTTAGCTGCTTCTGCCTCTGAGTGCAGTGAGATGCTTTTGCAGATGCAGGGATTAAACCTGCTGATTCTAAGCTGCAGGATATGTTTTAGATTTTGTCCTACCCAGTGTGTACACATGTGTTCAAACTCGTCAGGAAAGTTGTCACATCTGAAAACATCTTTATTTAATTTTTTATTTTTTTTTCAGTGTATTGCTCCATTTCGCAATAGTGCAAAATTCAATATTTTAAAGTTCTTCATAAATAACAAACATATCATAAATAAACAATTATCACCACATTGAAACAAACTTAAAAAAACCAAACTACAGTCACGTTGAAATTGCACAAATGGATTTAAGGTAAGCAATCTTTCTATTTACATTTCGATCAGCAGAATGGAGGCCAAAGTCTTTTGGTTTCGTGTGCCTTTCTCTGGAAGTCTTCACAGAATAACATCTCCATAAGACCATCATAGCCCCTATTCTACTGGGTCCGCTCTAACAAATGAAAAATAAGGTAGTTTTATAAGATAAACAGAACCGGATTAACAAAATCCTTCAAAAAAAAAGAAAAGAAAGAAAGACAACTTCTCAGAAGTTTGGAATGGTATCACTGCGCTACACATGAACTGAACTGAACTTGGGTATGAACGGAGTCAAAAAGACTCAAAGTGATCCATTTATGTTAGACAATGCAAGTTCAGTGGTGACATTCTCAAATCACCCACCACAGGTTATATAGCCAGTATATTTGTGGCTAATTATACAGTTGTTTCTTGTTCAACTTGCAATAAAGTTGGGTCCGTTTCAACAATGAGGTAATAAAACAAGACACCACACTTGATGTAGTGTGGAAGAGAATATGACAGCACCAAGTGTCAACAGCATTACTCATTAGTGTCGAGTGTTGGTATACTGTAGGTAAACTAGTACTTGCTGCTTTATTGTCAGATTAAACTGCCATGTGTCCCAAGAATTATATCCACCTCCATTTCCATTTTAAAAATAACTGAGAAGTAGGATAAAGACTGGTCGACAGGTTTGCAAGCAACTAAAGCCTTTTGCACAAATGTAGTGGACATTAGGTGCAGTTTCATGTGAGATTATGCTTGTGGCAGTGAAGAAACATTAAGAAATGCAAATGAAACGCTGCATATCAAAATGCAACAATCAGTCCTCTTAACCAGGAGAAACTCCGAATGCACACAAACCGAACAACTACCTCTCTCACACACTTACACATTCTCTTTGTCATTTCCATTGACGATATGCACGTTACACACCTAAATAAATATATTAAAAACACTCTTAAATAGGCAAATGTCTGATCTGTTTGCTTCTCTAAGCCTCTTTAAAACAGAATATATTAGAATTTATACATTTTTATAAATAATACATATAAGTTCAACATAATTATTCTCTGTTTATATATATAGATATATATAAAAAAAGAGTCAAACTCATTTACAGTTCTGAGGGCCTAACGTTTCTGTGTTGTTGGTGTCCATGCTCTCTTGCAGTGTGGGAAGGGTTTACAACATTGCCTGTTACTGCCACCTACTGTGGCATAGCAGCACTACAACATTTTTATCCTCCTGTTGGGAGTCAATGCCAATATGTAAACATGCATGGTATAACCAGTCGAAAGCTACATTCCAAAAGTAAAATCATTCTGTTTCTCTTTTTTGTACATTATTGCAAAAAATCCTGACATCAAAAGAAAAAATCTTGCAGAGGACAACAACATCAAACCAAAAACATTTACATTACACATGACAGAATTAAGTGTCCACCACGTTTCACGATGAGTGTGTCAAACACTGTGGGAGTGGTGGGGGGAAAAAAGCGGGGCTTGAGGAAAGATCGGTTATTGTTAATACATCTGTGTACTCTTGAAGAGAGTGGGAGCTGGAGGTGGAGCTGTACAGTGGAATATCAGGCATCCAGGCAGATACAGGGCAGTCCAGAACTAATGGCAAACTTAGTGGAGAATAGGCAGATTGGTTTGACTATGAATATAAAAAAATCTTTCAGTAATCATCTGGCATCCCTTACATATTCATGAAAAATTTAGTTATGTGTGGCACATGTCTTTTGAGATAACAGAGTGCTGCATATTAATGTTTTCAAAAAGTGCCTAGATTGTTTAATTTAAGTTCATGACTTATTTTGTGATTTTTTTTTTTGACCAATCATGACCAAGAGTGCCACTAATTCTGAAGGGTTCTGTATATTAACCAAGCCAGGAGCCTTATCCACACCTTCCCTCTGTTTCTTCTCTTCCCTCCATCCATTTACCTGTCCACTCCCGCCCTCTTCCTCCTCCCAGTCTCAAACCGAGCAGTTGCGTCTCTTCCCAGAGCCAGTCTGGGCTGTAGCAGCAGAGGCTGAGGTCAGCCAAGCGGTGACCCCGTGTCAAAGGCTGGTGGAGGAAACAGAGAGGGTTGGCGAGGAGGGCGGTGGGAAGTTTAGTAGCTCCAGCACGGCCACGCCCACACTGCTGCGTCGCGTGAACATGCAGGAGGCGGCGACCCATTTGTTGCTGCGTGGGTTGTACTTCTCGATGGAGTTGAGACTGGAGCTGCCGTCGTTACCTCCCACTGCGTATAACCAGCCATCCATAGCCACAAGGTCATGCGTGCTCCTGGAAGCAGGGGAAAAAAAAACTAATTCAGTATCTAAATTCCACATGTACTGTGCAGCCATATTTTTTAAAACACCGCATTGTGATTTTTTAAGCTCTTATCTGGATATTTTGCTCAATCCTGCTAACTCCAGGATGTATTACAGAGTGCCAACAGATGGCAGCATCTGTTGAGTGACGGTAGATGGAGCTTTGCATGAGCTTCATCAGTGATTGTGTTGAAAAACGGAAAGATCAGTAAAGAGACTTATAAACATAACCTTACATTTATTTATGAGTGATGTATCTTATCATTCTTTTTATTTACATTCGCCATCATTTCCCTGTTAATCTTTTATATGATGCTGAACTGTGACTGTGAGCACTTGGTAAAGTCGGTCTCAATATGAGCTGTATATATTAATCATTGATCATCCTTCTGACGTTTATTAATAATTATGAAATATTACCACAATGGTTTATGAACATGTGATGAGTTAGTGGTACGGGGGCTAAAAGCCATGCGTAATGACAGCTGTTCTGATACTACAAGTATCGTAATGCAAACGGTTGTTTAATGGTGTTTACACATCCATTTATGGATCATTGTGGAAGCGGAAATTAAGCTCATGCACTAATTTCCACAATGATTGAGAAACAGAATCAGGCATATGTGCGATTTTTCAAATCTGGCACAAAATGCGTATGCATATTTTTGTCTTTGTGCGTACGCACAGTTTTAGTCATGAATCTACACAGAATTTTATGAATCTGGCCCCAGGAAGTGCCAATAATACTACTAGTTCATTATTAATTGTAGGACCAGTGGAAAAGTTAATGGTTTGTTAGCAGAGACAATAAAAAGAGATCTTTTTGCAACATCAATGAGGATTTTCAAAAGTTCCAGATTATTTTGGCCAAAACAATTATTCTGTAATGTTTTCAAATTGCCACATTGCGTAAAATGGTGTCCAAGAGTGATAGATTAGTGGTCAATACAGTGTGATGTTTTGAACTGTGTAAATGGAGCCACTCAGCAACAGGATAAGAAAGGCATTCCAAGCCACACAGCTGACTAACACATGGGTTATTCATGGAGCTGCACAGTCAACTGTTGTCAGGTTTCCCTGCTCCTACAGTATAACGACTCACACACAAGAAAGTGTATGTGTGTGTCCAGGGGCCTCTGCTGGTGTGTCCTCAAATCCAAGACCAAGCTACATCTCTAAAGCTCCCTCCCTGATGATGTTTTTTTTAATCAATACAATGCTGCGAGTGTGTGAATGCATGCCCACTTTGATAATCACCCGCAAGACAAGTTTCATCCTCTAAAAAAATTAGAAATAGTCTACTGTTATGGAAAATAGGTCATTTGATGTTTATGCCGTAAGACGGTTTAGGCAGTTAGGAAGACATCCAAATGCCCCAAATCCCTCGCCTTCAAGAGTAAAGATTTTCCACAGAGCAAAATAATCACAGCAGGGGTACCCATTTGACAAGCTCCATGAAGATAGCGCTACAGTTTTGTTCTTTCGCTTTTCAAAAAGGAGATTTTATCTTCTTCTATTTAGGTTAAGGCAATTCTGGGATTTTGAAACACTGTGGTACCCCAGTGTTTCTCAAATACAAATCAGCCGAGTTCATCCCCCTGCCACACAATGGTGTCACATGTTCATTATGAAGCCTAAAAAGAAGTATAAAAGCTTTACAAGCCTTAACGAAAATGTATAGCGTAGTTGAAGGCCGATGCATTTCAGCCTTTCATTACTGTGAGCTGAACTTTTGGAAGATGGAACAGTAGAACCGGGTCATCCTGATGGCTCAGTTGACTAAGGTGTGTCTCATTTCATTAAATTAATTTAATTAAATTCCCTTGATCCATCACAAGTCCTTCATCATATCTCATCTCCTCACCCATCTTTTCTCTCTTTCTCTCTCAACTGCACAGTATCATAAACAAATACATTTAGCTGCAAGCTGCTTCATTAATCGCTCTGGTGGCTCTCGTCTCTAAAATCTGACGAGGGGGTTGTCCATGTCAAACATTTATCTCTGTAGAGCTTATGATTGCTTTCACTCTCTCATGTTTGAAGTGAGTTGCTATAGTTAGAAATGTTGTATTTGCTACATTGTTCACATTTGTTAGAGTTGATTTCACACACAGCTGTTTTTTAAAGTCGCATTTCCACTGCAGGAGCCTCCCCAGGGACTATTAACCTTTGGAGGAACTCAGTGTATTTCCACCACAGGAACCAGGGTCTAAATTAAGTTCTATTTTACCCCCCCGCCCCAAAAGTCCCTGCTCAGGGGGTTCCAAAAGTACAGGAACTTTGGGGGTGGGTTAGACATTTTATTTTATTTTTTCAAAATCTGCAGCTGAAAACTAGTTTGTTTTTTGTTCACTGTGCTTCAACATGGAGTTACAGAAGAAAGCATACAATAGATGGACTGACAACGAAGTCCAGGCATTTTTATTCACTGGACCTGGACGCGACCATATATATATTTATATAAATTATGGGTGGAGGCTAACCTTCGTATGTTCATGGGGGCCACTCCCTCCCAGGTGTTAGTCTTGGGGTTGAACCGCTCTACAGAGTTCAGGCAGCTGGTGCCGTCATTCCCTCCTGCGACATACAGCATGCCGTCCAGCACGGCCACCCCGGCACTGCTGCGCCGACTCAGCATGTTAGCAATGGCTGTCCATGTGTTGCTCTGTTTATTAAACAAAGAGAGACTGAGCATTGGTCACATGTTCATAGATTCATAAATAGTGTATGATTTTCCTCCACAATTTCTTGATCCTGGCAACAGACAAGTTGCTTTGATGATAAATTTAACAGCATAGAATTTACCTGGGGGTCATATTTCTCCACCGTTGCGAGATGTGAGGAGCTGTCATAACCTCCCACTGCATACAAGTTGCCATCTGGAGGGGAAAAGGGAGTAAACACTCAGAATGTAAATATTAGCAGATGAATACCAAGTTGGCAACTCCCTCTTGATTTCAGACATCAAAATGCAGACAGCGCTATATAAACACACAGTAGAACAGCGTGTTCATAACATTATGTTGTGGCAAGTTCCTACCCAGAGTTGCTACTCGGACGTATCTCCTACGGGTGCTCATGGCAGCTATTGAGGTCCATGTACTAGTCAGAGGGTCGTAACGCTCTGCACTGAAAGAGGAGAAAAAGACTTGAACATAACGACACTGTAGGGTTGGCCTATTGACATAAACTGAACTGTCTTTAAGACCTGGGGCCTCATTTATAAAACAGACTTAATCAATTCTGATCGTAAGTATGACTCACATATAAGTAGTTATTTATAAAACCTAACATTGATATGGAAATGATCTTATCTATCTATATTGCACTATTATATATAGAAATATTAGCTTTTTCATTTTGTTCTCTGTACTTTCAGCAGTGAGTTACACATGAACGCAAAGGGAAACCTCTAACTGCATACTGCCATTAGAAACTGAGTACAATTAGCTGATAATTGGCATAATCAACCACCGTAGTAGTAATCAATACACACACGTTATGATACTATTAATCAAACCAATAATAGCAATCAACGTCAGACAACCTTATCATACTTTGTGGTGTAGTGGTGATAGTATGTTAAAAAAGACCCATAGCAGTTTAAAGTGTCCTCTGCTTTCTCCAGGAAAACCTATTATGACAAATTATCTTTAAAAAATATCACATAACAATTCCGTACGTGTCTGTAAAAGAACAAAACTAGAAACAGAACATAAAATGTATCATATGTTGACAGTCTTCTTGTCAATTTAGCATCAGTGTAATCCATTAAAATAAACTGTATTTCTGTACAGACATAACATGTTGTTGTCTCAACTCGCCAGCCTCCATTGGTCAGCTGTGCTTAGTGGGAGAAGACAGCGGGACTGAGAGTCGAACCGTTTAAAAAATGAAAATGTCTAAGGTAAGGTAAGTGCTGGTTGGTGGATCAAATAAACACTGAATTAAACACAATCATAGCATAGTTAATTCAGTCTATCGCCTGTGTATCTTTTGGTCCATCCGAGCACACCGTCAGAAATGATCAAAGACTAAATTCAAGTATAAATCTAAGAACATGTTTATAAATGAGGCTCCTGGCCTAAAAAAACAGCGTCTAGACAAACAAAAATGTTGCAACAACATTCAACAGCGTATCAAATCTATCAGGAATGTTCAGCATTCATCACCAAAATGTCTGTCTGTGTGTACCTATTGAGGCAGGAAGCTCCATCATAACCTCCAGCAGCGTACAGCAGGCCATGTAGGACGGCTACACCCAAACAGCTTCGCCGTGTTCCCATGGAAACCTCAGGTTGCCAGGAGTTAGTGATGGGGTCGTAGGACTCCACGGTGGCGAGGTCTGAGGTTCCATCATACCTGAAGAGGTGTGGAATTAAATGATTCAGAAAGGGCTATTTAATGATTGAGGGACAACATGGCCTTAAATACATTAAAAAAATAAATGTCAATAGTAGAACGTTAAACAGGCATTTTGCATTAAGAAAAGCTGTTAGAGCTTATCAAGAGCACAAGGAATGAATAGTTTGTGTTTCACTCAGGATCATTTTACATGTAAATCAGCTACATGTTCCTCCTGCCAAAGCTTTACAAAAGTTAGCTTTACTTCAGATCACACAATGCAATGTTTGAGTAATAGAGGAGATGGTTGGTTAACTAGTTTTAGGTCAAAGGTCAGTACTGTTCTCACCACTCACCCTCCGACAGCATAAAGTCTGTTCCCAATGGCTGCGACGCCCACCCGTGCCCGCCGAGTGGACATGGATGCCACCATGTGCCAGCGATCTGTCCTGGTGTCGTACGCCTCACAGTCTCCATGGATGGCAAACAGGCTGCCTCCACCTGCAGACACACACACACACACACACAGTATGTTGAAAAAAAAAAACCTTTGACGTAAAGCAGTCATTTGATAAAATAAAATAATAATACTAATAATAATAATAATAATATGGAACATGATTTTTGCCAATAAGTGCAAAGGTTGTAGGGTTTTGTGATGATTTTGGCAGATACCCAGGTTGACTCCTGGGCTCAGTTCAGGATCAAGTTGTAGTCTTTATTGTGGTTCAGAAATGGCTCTTTTTAAAAAAAAGTATCTTTATATACTGTATGAAAAAGTATGTTGTAAGTACAAATATTTAGGCTTAAGACCAAAGAATAACCTGTAATTTACTGTATTTGCTATTTATATGGTTTAGTTTAAAACTTTGAAGCTATGCAAGGAGACGGTAGTAAAACATTAACTAAATTACATATTGTAATATTGTGAAACAGTATCTCTATGAATACTGTGACAATATTTCAAGGGGAAATCGCTGATTGTAAGGCAGGTGCTGTCAATTTAAAGTAAATTTGAGATTTATATATCACAGGTACCTGAGTTACAAATGGGCTTATTAGAACCTGCGTAAGCAACGTTTTTCTATGCTCAGTATCTAATGAATCAAACTTAAGCACACCATCAGAAATGACCTTAAGACTCAAGTGTAAATCTAAGAACATTTTAATAAATGAGGCCCCTGGGAAACATTTAAGCTATTATATTACAATACTATAAAAATCAGAGTCTAGTCTCTTATAATTATATCAGTATTTTTATCTCCCAGCTGTAAAAAAGCTGAATGAGTAACATCAGAGGCTAAAGTTAATTGATGTGTGGCCTAAGTGTACCCTAATGGGTACCTTCAGGGGCACACTGACCAACGGCGAAGAGCACAGGGCTGGCGCCCTCACAGCGTCGCGGGCGTGTCCGGCTGTTGCTGAGGACTCCCCTCTGCTCAGGCATCAGGTGATACTTGAGAGCCTCAATCAGCAGGTCCTTGCACTCCGAGTGGTGACGCACCAGCAGCTCCGTGTCCACATTGCTCATTAGAAAGTCTCGCCTCAGCAGCGGCAGCCGCACACACTTCATCAGCTAAAGGGGCAGAGGGAAGGCGGTAAGGGTGAGTTAGGGTCAAGAGAGGAGGAATGGAGGAAATGTGATGGACCTGTTTTTTAGATTATAGTCAACACTATCACCCTGATTTCCTCAGGTGAGAGGAGACAAGTCTTACCCAAGGTACGTGTTGCCTGCGTCCATCGATATCATGTTTCACCCAGCTCAACACAGCCCGGTACACTTCCTCTTCAGATGGCACGTTGAGATTGTCACTGGAGATCAAATCCAGGACCTGGATGGAACAAACAGCAGATGGGTAGAGACATTTATAATCAATTACAAGAGAAACTTAAAATTCAAACTCATAGTGCCTTTAATTCAACGGTGACCATCAGAGAAGCACTTGCAGAAGCAAAAAGCAGAGCAAACATGTCAACACACAGGATGTTGTATCTGACGTTATCTGCTGAACTGTTGCCTCTCTTCCTTCCTCCTCTCTTCTCTCACTTTGTTTTCTGTGCTTAAAATGTAAGACTAAAGGGCAGAGCTCTGTTTTGTCTGCATCGTTTCAAAATTAAATTAAATTGAATCCACTAGGGTTGCAAACTGTAAGCACTTTCGTTCGTTCCAACCACTTGTTGGTAATGTTAACTAACAATTGATTAATTGTAATAAACAAAAGCATAAAAAGGTTCATTTCGACAGCAAAATAATGCATATTTTCTGACAGCACTGCATAGCCCATTAAACATATTAAGCTGTGGAGGCCTAGATATATTAGACACGTCATTGAATATGAGGTTACATGTGGTGTGTGCTGATAAAAATAATTTCCGCTAGCATGTAGTCTAATAAGACACTCAAACAACCAAATGAAACCCTGCAACAAGAGAATAGAACAAATATCTAATTCTGATAGCTCGAATATAATAGGAGACATGTTGTTCATATTTCAGATTATTATTAGATAGTAGATCGATTCAATTACAACTGTTCGATCAAATTCTCGATCGTCAATTAATCGTTATCGTCCTAAAAATCAAAAAATGTTTAATGAAGTGAAACAAATCATTTCAGGCACCATTTTAACTTTGACCATTAACTCATAAATGCCCGTTTGTTATATTAAGGTCTGTAAGTGTGTAGCGGTTCTGTGATATATTTAAGTTACCACTGCGTGTGTGTCAAAACGAGTGCTGCAGTCTGAGTGGCTGGCTGGCTCTGCTCTCAGATTCAACCCAAAGCTGGCAGGGCTGGGTGGGGCCAGAGCAGCCAGCTGCTGCTACTGTCTTGCTGGCCAGATCAGGGCAACAGTTAGCAGCCTCCCAGGAACAGCGTCCACTAATCCACAGTCACACTGAGAAATACTGCTGCTGCCCCACCCTGCAGTCCCCCTTATCTCTGCATACACACACTGCATCACATTAACTCAAACAATGTTTGTGTGTGTGTGTGTGTGTGTGGAGGAGATGTAAAAGGAAATTGGTTTTAGGAGTGTATTAACTGTGCTTGTTGTATGGCGGCAAGCATGAGAGACGTACGAATGAAAAAGGGTTTCAGCTGTGTCAAGATGTCCTTATACACTACACACACCGTAATTACAATGCATCCATCCTTTGTCTACATAATGCCACCAATATGTGACGCTACATCACTGAAGCATCACCAAAGCAGACTAGTCACTGCCATGTCATGCCTTGCCACTTCCTTCACAGAACATGGAAAGAAATATGGGGCATATTTCACAGCTCTGTGAACTCAGAGTCCTTTAGAGCAGGAAGTACATAAATTCATATCTGGCGTGGATTTAGACGCAGACAGACACAGAACAGCTGCAGACAGAATGGGGCGGTGAGCCAAAGGAAAAGAGAGATAAAAGAATAGAAACAAAGAAAAGAAAATGGTCTATTTTTAATCTGTCTTTATGCAGCTTAACTTGAACTGTTTTAATGGACTGTGCCCACACTCCTATTGCAGATTCAGTCTCAGGGCTTTGAAGGCCACAGACAGAGAGACTGAAGCACAATCTCTTTACTTTACTGTGGGGATTGTTCCTTGGAGACACAAGGAGATGGGAAAGTGATGCTGCCAGCTGTTTGTTACTTGTTTTCACCACTGTTTTAATTCCTTGTCACCTGGAAAGGCTCAACAGGCATTTGTTTGAAAAGGAAACCATTTCCTGTAAGACATGATGCAGTTTTTTCCTTTATCAAAACCCTTCTTACATTCGCCTACAGGAACGTGTCTCCTGCTGGACTTTTACATGTAATCTGAAATCTTGAGGCTATTTATTAAAAATATAAAAAACAACTAAAAATTATGCTTATACTTTAAATCCTCAAGCCGTTTAACTCCTGTAATAACAAACAGGAGTCCTGCAGACTTGTAAATCAATTTTGGAGTGGGACCTCCCTTTTGTTTAAATTTGGAAAGGAGACTGTGCCTACATTGTTTCTTTAACCTTTATTTAACAATCAAGGTAGTTTCTCTGGGAACAATGCCCTCGCTCAACACACATTTACACCTAAAGGCTGCCAGTGCAACCACAGTCTGACCTGTGGTCGATGAGCAGCTCCACTGGAGCAGTTGGTGCCAGGGGCTTTGCTTATGTCAGCAGTTGACGAAATGGCTAACACTGATTTAGCAAGCCTAAATCTAACATAAATGCCCCAAAATTTTGCTCTATATGGTAGCAGTAAAAAATATCGGAACCAAAGAAGAAACCCTCATTAAGTATATGAATCAGACAGAGACGTAAACAATGGCGTTATTTTCCATAAACAGTACAGCGGTTGTGGAAATGTCACTAGCTTTGCGTAACTACCGTTTCCAGGACAGGAACAGTGCTGTCACTGCTGTGCCCAGCTGATGAATAAGTGATAGTTTGGCTACGCTGATGTGCCACATGAAGTAGTCCACAGCAGCACACCGGGAAGATAAAACCACAAGAGACAGTGATAGATGTAGCTAGCTGAGGAAGGAGAGAGGTCCACCTAATAACTGTTAAAAACACATCGGCACACTTGTGGCCACTTCCCTCGAGGAGCCTCTGATGAAAAACATGACGATACATGTACTAGTGAGGAAAAGGTGATAAGCATGCAGGACCTAAATGAAGTGCTTCATCTTTGTGTTTTCTTTGTCATATTTATTAGCAACTAGATGAATTACTCAAGTAGAGCCACTGAGGGGTAGTAAGCAGCAAGTTGTTAAACCAAAAGTCAATAATTTTTTGTCGTTAACTAATAATGAATTACATTTTAAGGTAATATATAATATGACTCCCACCAGTGTTTCTGCCTACTGGTCAGTGGCTTTTAGATTGAGGAAAGATCCCCTTGGGTTGGCTATAACAATGCTGCTAAATGGTAAGTATATCACCATTATGACTCGCAAACAGAGGAAGCAATTTCCAGTAGCCAGATGTACCACTGTATATTTCCTCCATGAATAACCCCCTGTGAAACTACTGTCTATAAAAAGCACCAGTTGGCAGAAGATACAGCAGGAGAAAGACAAAGCTTCACCCCTACCTGTTTCAGTGGCAGCAGCATGAACTCTTCTGTCTTGGACACCTCTACAAAGTGCTGCAGGACATACTTGTGTGCGGACTTAAGCAGGTCGCTGCAGGAGTGCGTGTCAGCGAATCCTCGGATGCCCAGGCAGTTGGAGGGGTCCAGCTGGCTGAGGAGGAACTTACAGCAGGCGTCCCGCACCCCGTTGAGCTGCAGCAGGCTGGCTGCTGGGAGCAACGTCTAGGAAGAGTTGAATTTCAGGTGGAAATACACCGTGAGTCGTGAGAAATAGGAATCAAATCAAGATGATAGATTTGACCATCTTCTCTATAGATCTGAAATCGTCCACCCTACCTGCACGTTGCCTTCCCCGACCACAATCTCTGCTGTGTAGGCATACTGGACCAGCTGCTCCAGAGCCTGAGAGTCAATGTCATGTAGGGTCACATGGGTCTGCCGACTCTCCGACATCTCATCTGCATGACCACACAGAACGAGGGTGGTTATATTTTTTTCCCACAAGTTATAACCAGTAAAAAGCCTCCCTGTTCCTAATGTATACAGAACTGCTGCCAAATGTGAGCATTGCTCATTTGTTGCTGTCCGTTTAATAAGCTGTGTGTGTGGAGGATTTTGAAATTCCTGAGTCTATACACTCTTGCCCAGTGTGGGTGTTCCTGCAGAACTGTCAGGAGGTTCTATATCAACAGTCGAATGTTTAATCTCCTCTAGTTTGAAGAAACTGCAAACATAATATCTGCAAGAGGAGCTGTGCTTTTGCTGTTTGAATGATCATGAATGATCAAAGATCAGCAGATTCTGTTAACATGGGCTGATTAGGGACTCAGACGAGAGGAAGCCTAGCAGCTGGGTCTCAAAGCCAGACAACTGACTGTCTGGAGACACATTGTACCTTCACAAAGGTCTAGTGCCAGGAGGAAATCTGAGACTCACAGACCTCATCTGACCACCTGTGCCCCAGACAGGAAGATGGGGAAGGAAGCAATGATGCTGAAAGGATGAGCTGGCGAGTTGTTGTGTCATCAAACTCTGAGCAACAGAGCAATATTATATGTTGGCATGATGTCAGAGCTTCCAATGTCGGAGGCATGCAACATCGATTTTAGGGATAAAAGCACAAAGTGAAGCGCAAACAGGGGACAACGTGGACTGAACTCACTGGTAAACATAGCGTGGAAGTAGGGGCTGCAGGATGCCAGCACCACTTTGTGCGCCTTGATTTCTTTGTTGGAGACATGGAGCACAATGTCACACAGCAAGCCGCGCTGTCGCATCCTGTTCATGGACACGAAAGAGTCGTGGTAGTGCCGCTTTGAATTGTGCGAGATGCTGTGGCCATCGCGGTTGAGCAGCTGCATGCCCCCTTCCATCATGGTGCCTGATGTGGCGGTCGCGGGCTCTTGCCTCGGCCGCACTCTGGGCAACTGAAACATGTAGAAGAACAGTTTCATGTCAGTTAATACGAAGTTATAAAAAAATATATATATTTTGTCATCAGAGAAAATATCCACCTGCAAGGGCTTAGTTTATTTGCAAGGATGCAGGTGTTATGACAGGTGTCCTGAGCAATCATTGTACCCAGTGTTCCTGTTATAGTACCCATCCTGACAGCTATGACAATTTCAGTACAATTACAAAGTGTAGTAAGTTGGCTGGCCTGGTTATTTGACATTCAGTGTCAAGACTGATTAAATTGCATTACGACAAAAGGAAGAAGATGGACATTATTTCATAAACTAGAATAAAATCAATGCATGCTTCTCATCTATTGGACTGTCTTGGTTTGTCTAATTGCACTGACTGCAGACTAATGAATTTAATTGCACCAGAATTAGCTGTGAAACCCCCCCACATCACCCCAGCTGCAGCCTCGGACAGGCAGGGTGGGAGGAGAGAAGGATGTAGCCTGAGTTAGCCTTTTCCTTTGTACTCTCATCCGCCCGGCTCTCGGATGGAGAACACACTTCAGAATGTTGCATAACCATCGTCACGCGGCATCTTAGAAGTTGTTGTTTGTTGAATATTTAGGATGCTAAACCGGACATCACAGACGTAAAACAGACTTCAGGAGGAAAATATTTCACTCTTGTACTGAATTTGATGCTATGATACCTTACAAGGTATATGAGCACAAGCCCACTGTTTTAAAAGTGTAAAGTCAGGTACTCTGATGGAGAGTTTTCAAATATTGTGTTGTTTAAAATATCCTTAACTGGGTAAATGAAACTACTATTTTACACCATATAGCCTGCTTTACGGCTTATTTTTCATTTAAAATGAATGATTCCTGTTTGTAAATATACAGACAGGTTTTAGTAACAATAACAAGGTTATTAGGACAAAAAGACAGCCATCACAGCCTCATTAGGGAAAATTTATCAGTTTCAGGTCCAAGAAATGCAACCATCCAGGCTGAGAAACAACAACATAAATATTATTGATTGAGTAAAGTTGAGTTTCTGGTGTCTTACTCCAGTCGAATAGAGAATTCACTGAGTATCAATGCATCATAATTATGTTGTCATCTGTTCAGTGACTATTCTCTTTCTAAATACTCTGCACTGTCCCACTGAGGACCTTCTCAAATGTCACCACAGCTGCCTGGCGACTGGCTTTGGGTCCCATTTTCCGAAACACAATAGACCACAAAAACACACCAGCCGTGTTCCTCTGTGAGGGAACAATCTGCTCTCATGCCCAAGGGAATAACATGAGACAATGCTGCAAATTAAGACATGCATACACAGGAGGTTGAGGCAGAAGTGAAATCACAATTGTCACAGTTAAAACTAACAGAGTAAAGCACTTGTCTTATTCATCTCTTAAAACCTTCCCTTGCCTCTCTGGCTCAAAACCTTGTCTGACATCCACACAACGGGTCTGTGGCTCCTTGACAAACACACACAATCTTGACAGATGAACAAATGTTGCACTGCAATCTATTTTGGACAGAAGGAGGTTTCTATTCATATATCAGCCTCCTTATGTGATCTGAAGAGACCCCAACCCCCACTCCATCTATTTGAATAACAGCAGCTACCAGCTGCAGCAGCAGCAATACTAAGAATGAATGTGTCATTTCTTTACCGGTGGTAGTGTTGCGGTTATCCTTGCAACAGTGTCTTCCTCGGTGTGATGGGGATAAATCAGCAGCTGTCGCAGTCAGATTGGTTTAAAACTGGTACCAGTGTCTGACTATCTGTCCATATTCTGACTGAAGCATACGAGATATGAAGAAAGCCTCTGTTTTGTGCTGTATGCGGTTGACGTCAATGCAAAAAACCTGCATGAGAGCTGCCGTCGGTTTGTTAAGGTGGATCTGGATCTGCCGCAGGTGGAAGTAGCAGCGCTGCTCGTGCTGTTTAAATGTCCTGACGTGGGGCGGAAGAGGCACGCGCGAAGCACACAGGACGTTATTTCTCACGCGCAAATGTCAACTTTTGACAGTGGGTGTTTGTTTATTATGTGACGTGACCCGCGCGACCTTAAGCGCCCCTTTTGTCTGGTCAGAGTCCGGAAGTGCGTTCGATAAATTCACCTCAGCTCGCGCGAAAGGCGGGGTTTAACGGAGAAGCGCCGTAATTTGGTGAGAACCGGAACCGCCCGCAGCAACGGTTAGCACGGACAGTTAAATCAAACAAACAGCGAACGTTTATACACTCATTAACGTTACAGATCCTTTTGTTCGTTTGGTGGTGACTACGCGGCTGTGATTCACTGCTCAAACTAAATAAAAGTAATGTGCTAATGTCACTTTATTGTATGTTTAGGCTCATCGGGTTAGTGAACGTTGGCGGGAGAGTTAAAAGAGAAACACTCACCGACAGCCGTCGTCGGTGTCGATGTGACAGCAACGGTTTCTTCCTGTTTGTAAGCTTGCCCAGCTTTGTGGCTGTATAAGGCAACAATTAAAAACTAACTAGGAGAAATCTCCCTCGTCCACAGCTGCTTGTGTCTCGTGAACACAGCTGTTCATTTAATTTAAACCTCACGTGTGGCATCAAAACACCGCCCGCTCTCCTACCAGCAACTTTGACAGTGTAATTTCGAGGTTGTCGTGGTCGCCGATGGTTTTTATCATTCTGATCCGACTGCTTCTTAGTAATGATTCATTTTGACTTTTACAATTATTATCCAAAACTAAACCAAAAGATGCCCGTAGTGTCCAATTAAAACAATTATGAGTCATTTATTACATGTTTAAACGCCGTTCGCTTACAGGTTAGCACCCATGAAACATAAAACCAACGCCTTCGTTTTGCACAGAGGGATTGTGGGTATTGGGGTTGGATAGAATCACGTTGTGGATCCAGCATGGCAGTGAAGCAGAAGAGGTTGGACGATATTCTCCTTATTATATGCTGTATATTAAGAGTTTTTACGGCACATTCGTGTTGTTTCTATAGGTTTAAGTGTTGTCAATTAGGTCGGTGAATTTGTGGGGGTTGAAAGACTCGTTTTAGCTAACATAGTGTGCTTTAGTCTTAGCCATTCCTTGCTATTAGTGGTTTAGCGGTAAGTGTTGGGGCTCCTGGTAGCAAGCTAGTTTAATCAAACACCGTAAACGTGGTTAGTGTTATTTAATATTTTGTGGTTTAAGTTTTATAAATGTTAACGAAGTCCTTTCCAGCTGCCCAGCCGACAACCTAGCTGACAGCTGAACAACATAACGTTTAAATGGACTCTGGAAGCGATAGACCATGCATCACAAAGTTTCCTCACATGTTGGCCAAACTTATTTCATCTGTTGTCTTTTTCGTAGGAAACTAGAAGACCTCAGTGTGGATGAGTTCCTGCTGTCAGGTGGTTTTGATTCTGCAGGTGAAGGTGAATCTGAAGACGAGTCTCCCAAACAGAATGGACTTAATAAAAAGAAAAATCAGAAATCTGCAGCCTCCAAGATGTGAGTCATTTACTGGAGGGTCATTTACATATTCATTCTGTGACGTTGTTGTGATGGTATCAAAACCTCTCAAGGACAGAAAAGCAACTCTTTTGTGTGTGTTTTTTCTTTGTAGTGATGATAAGAAGAAAGGTAAGGCCTCTGAGCACAAGGAGCAGCTGTCCAGGTTACAGAACAAAGATCCAGAGTTCTTCAAATTTCTGCAACAGAACGACCAAACGCTCCTAAACTTCGACGACACAGACAGTTCTGAGGATGAGGATGAGACTAAGTACCACAAATTGCCATCTGCACTGGAGGTAGGCCGGCTGCTGCTGTGTGAGTTGATGATGAGTTCTCTTGTGAAAAAGATCTTCATACTCGTGTGTTTTGCATGTAGGAGGCCAGCTCTGGTGACGACGAGGACGACGATGAGGGGCAGAAAGCTTCGAAGAAATCCAAAAAGGCAGTGGAGTCGATCAAAGTCACAGACAAGATGATTGAAGAATGGAAAGCAGCCATGAAGAAGGAACCCACGCCTCGTCTGTTCAGAGAAGTCACCCAGGCCTTTAAGGCCGCCGTGGCTACAACGAAGGGTGAAGGAGGCGGTCAATGTCGATACAAAGTGGCTGACAGTTCAGGTAGGGTACCGTGTTTGATTTGAGGTGCTGATGTGTGTTTTCAAGCTGCTGCATTTGGATGGGAAAATTACATTGTCATTATTTTTGCTGAACATGGCGAATCTCACATCTAAATTGCCATTGTTCAAAATCTCTATAATCAAAAATGTTTTTATTTTAACAAAAGCAGTAAAACTTGAAACTTTTTAAATGAATGTCTAAATACGAGCAGATGTTCAAGAACTCTTAAACCTGCAATAATAGGTTTTTTTGGGGGGAGGGGGTGTAGAAACAAGTTAACACATTTACATATCATCACCTTTAAACACTTTACATTTACATTGCAGTTTTAGACCAATATCATTCATTTGGAGTCGTGTCTCTGCCCAGCTGTTGAATTTAAATCCAATATTCACTCTTTGTTTTAGTTCTGTTTTTGGTCTCTAACAACTCCTGAGGGAAATGCCCGGCTCTTTAGCTGCTAAATGCTCCATTATGTTCACCAGCTATTTGCTAAACTGTGGCCAAAAGGCGAGAGTGAACTAAAACAGTAAAGTTGTGGATCAGATAGGTAAACAATGAGTTGAAACTCACTATAAAGTTTTGTAAAGCTGAAGGGAGCTGCAGATCCAGCTGATAATGTCTCTTATAGCGGCTTTCGATAAAATACGGTCAAGATATTGGATCCCCACATTCCCCACAGATATCAGAGATAATGCAACACATTTTGGTCATTACTAAAAAGGTATTGAGGTTTGACACCCAGCCCTAATTTCAGTTACTGTTTTGGGTCTCACATAAAGCGTATACTGAAATGTTGTCTAGGTAGCTGTCAAAATGTTGTTCATAGCTGTAATTCTTAAAAATGTTTAAATAGACTAAAAATAGTGCCTGCACATTTGTTTACTGTAATATTCACCTTTTATAAAAGCATAATAGAAAGTTACCTTAGCAGTGCATATAATACATAACAGCAGCGGTTTACTGTAATAAAAAAAGCGACCTGAAATGCTGGCAGGAGGTACGTTAATACCGAATGTTTTCACAGATTCTAAACAAAACACACAGTGAATTCTTTAATTAACCAGATGTACTGAATTTAGAGATTTGTGCTGAATGATTCAATTGAACATTTTATACTCAATGAATAGACATTAATATCACTCTCACTGTTCTGTCTGCAGTGTTCAACGCCTTGGTCCTGTTCTGTATCAGAGATATCTATGTGGCCCTGCAGAGGATGCTCAACCTGAAGCCAAATAAAGACCAGAAAAAGTATGAAGTGAATGTTACATCTGCTGATCTTAACCCACCCTTAATGTAGCTGTGGAAAGCTGGGTCACTCCTCACTCTGTTCCCTCTGTTTTGTTCTAAGGCTAGTGCTCCCGTCGTCAAGTCCAAAGTGGCAGAAGAATCAGATGGACGTCAAGATGTACCTCAGCGGAGTAGTTCAGGTTTGTTCAGGTTTTCTCACTTTGATTTGTGCCTCTTCTTAGAGTAGATAAAGTGTAGAGAAATGTCTTTTGTTCTTCTTCAAGACTAGTTCATTTATAACACAGCTGTGCCATGATATTTTCTTCCACCTCTCCTTTTGTATCCTGAGAGCATCCCGGTATTAACGTCTTCTCTTTTGTCTTGTTCTCCACCTGTAGCTGTTATCCTGTCTAACAGAGGCTACAGTCATCAGCGCCGTCCTGCGTCACGCCAACCAGCTCGTACCTTATTACCTTTGTCTACCCAAACAGTGTCGTCACCTGGTTAAGGTAGGATATAAGTTACCGTAGTAAAATAGTCAAATTGTTTTTAATGTATTTTTTCTTTTGCTTACAAGCCATCTTATGTCTTTCTGTCTAGCAACTCATGAAGCAGTGGAGCACAGGGGAGGAGACCAGTCGGGTTCTCGCCTTCCTGGCCCTCAACAAAATCTGCAGACACAAGCAGGAAACATATCTTAACCCTATCCTCAAGGTGAGCTGAATGTAGAGTAATACAGGAATAGAAAGGTACACAGTAAACCTAGATGTAAAATGGACTAGAATTTGTTTAATTTCCCTTAAAGACTATGTCAAAACGTGAGTTAAAGTGTTATATTTAGTATTAATTTTAAGTTGATGTTGATTCCAAATACTTAACACCACACCCAGTAGCCTCTTTCATCTGTCCTGTCCTCATGTTTTTCTTTCTTTTTTTGCAGCAAATGTACATTTCCTACGTACAGAACTGTAAGTTCACATCTCCCAATGCGCTGCCCATGATCAACTTCATGCAGCGAACTCTATCAGAGATGTACTCCCTGGACACACAAGCCACTTACCAGCATGCCTTCATCTACATCCGACAGCTGGCCATTCACCTCAGGAACGCTATGACCATGAAGAAAAAGGTTAGTTTCTGACTGTGCACAGGATGTTGCTCAGGGAGATGCTCAGCTTTTGTGCTTTCGAAAGCTTTAAAGACGCATACAAAGACATATTTAAAATGCTCTCCTGGATGAGAGGGAACCAGGCAATGGAAGACTATCTTATGATGAGCAATTTAAGGGTTATTCTTCTATTATTATTCTTTAAAACTTCAACATGTATTGACTTGGCCACTGCAGTTAAAAAGAGCACAAAGCTACTTTCTGGTAACTTCATGTTCAGCACAATAGCCTGATGTTGTTGACATTTTTGCCTGATTGTTATTCTCAGCACAGCACATTGCAACAACTAAACAAAAAAAGCACATAACAGAATGAAGCTCAGAGTTCAGGTCTTATGGAGCCTCTCTAAGCGCCTACAATAAGACACCGACTGTGCTTGTGTGTGTTCTGTAGGAGACGTACCAGTCGGTGTATAACTGGCAGTATGTCCACTGTCTGTACCTCTGGTGTCGGGTCCTCAGCACCCTGCACCCAAGTGATGTACTCCAACCTCTCATCTATCCCCTCTGCCAAGTCATAATTGGTACAATCAAGTGAGTATATGTAATTTTATTAAGTTCTTTTAAAAGCTCATGTTCATATATGTAATAAGAATGTGCAAAAAGTTGAGATTCTCAGAGGTAATCCCATAAGTGAATTATCCATTATCGAGTGAGGTGATAGGTGGTCAGATATTTGTTGAGTCTGTATTTATTGTAATCAATGTAAATCATTTCAGAGCTGTTGTTTATGTAGATGTTAATCAGTTTGCAATGACATCCGTAGCTTTTTTTTTCTGTTGAGTTTGAGAAGGAAAAAAAAAAGTAAAGGCTGCAACTAACGCATCGTCAAATAATTGTTTGTTGAAAACAATTTCAAACTGGTGAGAAATTAACTTCGATCCTAAAGTGATGTTTTCAAATAGCTTGTATTGTTAAACCAAAGATTCAATACACAAGAATATTTGGTTTTACTGTAACGTAAGACAAGGGAAAGCAGCAAGTCTGAAACAATCAAATGTTGGTCATTTTTGCGAGTGACTTAAACAGTTAATTATCAAAACAGGTGTAGATTAATTTGCTCTCAATCATCTTATCAATTAATCA